CGCCCGCGTCTTCAACGAGACGCCCTTTGCGAGGCGCGGGTCGTGCGACCCTCGCGCTCGTTCAAAGGAAGATCAAGTCTGCCAAAGACGAGCCGAACGAAGACGAACAAGGAGTTGTTTGACATAACAAATCCACAGGCTGCAAGGCTGTCAACGTCGTAATGTCCACTTGAGCCACGCTGATCGACTGTGGGTTTTAACTTCGGTGAGATTCAGGGTCAGTGAACTCCCAAGGTTCAATTAACTTTAAGCTATACCCATAAAATCGCCAACCATTTGGCCAATTGACTGTTACTCCAAATAACATGCACATCAGAGATTCGCGGTATATTCCACAAGGTTGTTTGAGGAGCCCTTTGGGGTTTAGGTTTGACACCTTGGTTTCTTTTTTTTATGGTTCTTCTCACGCTTGGTTCATATGTCCCACGTGCACAGAAAGACCATCATACAAGGACTACTAAGGAAATCTAAGCAATCCACATATTTAGGAATAGAATCCACAGGTTTGATCTGAAGATCAACTAATCTCCAAGCCCTATTCAGAACTCACATGAAGATCCAAGTACAAAATATCGGTTAATTAGGGTGATTGGGATTACATACCCTGCTTCACTAGGTTGCGCGGATTCATAGTGACCTGCATGGTACATTCCTGTTACACTGGACTCCGGACTCCTCTCCTTGACATTTGCCAGGCATATGGGCCTTCCCGGAACCACGGTGAGATGGCTCAGTGACTGATGACTCACGCTTTGTCATGGCCATTTGTGAAGGATGCTTGCCATGCCGGTATGTTTCCTCTTTGTCTATTAAAGGGATTCATGTTCATGTGTTGATCCCTAAGGCTCGACTAAAGGCTTGGCTGACCACGCTTTCGAATGCCATCAACAAGCAGGAGGTGCACGTGCGAACCGGGAGAAGGGACCCCGTTTTGTGTTCTTCTTTCAAAAGGCTTTCTTTGTATAGCATTTTTGTGTCCCAATAGTTGTTGTCTCTATAAAGCAATACGATTGGATGGGCTAATTTGAGACGGCTGAAATGGCAAGATAGTGCACTTGTTGGTTCGTCTCAGTTGACCACTGATGGTACGTAATGCACTGTGGCCAGACTTGGCGCAAATGTGTTGGCGAAAACTCCAACTTCAGCTTCCATGTTCATATCTCACAGCAACATCATCGCTTCCTGACGCTGACACTTCCAACTACGGATTAGCCATGTCCTGTCTGACTAAGGCTAAGGCCACCTTGGAGCTCATCCTAATTTGAGCCGCCTTGCCAAGGGCCACCCCACCTCACCTGGCCACCTGAAACGCTTCGTTTCTGCGGAGGTGCCCCCGATGGCCGCCGCGATCACTCTGCTCTTCCTGCACACGCCCTTGCCGGCGCCGTAGATTTCGCGGAGAGAATTCGTTGCCAAGAAGAAACTCAGTAGCTACATGGATCCACTGTAGATCACCTATATAAACAACTTCAACAAGAATGCCACCACCAACCAACCTTGGAGCCACACTTAAATGCTCAACACTCAACTGTGGGCGCCAATTGGCATCCTTGGAGTCAAAAGTTCACTCAAGCTGGCCAGCAAGGCCTTCAGATGAGCAAGAAGCTCCAGCTCCATTACCAGATCCTGTGCACCTTGGAGTTGTCTCCGAGGGATGCTGTCACACATTGGGACGATGGTTTGGTCTCCACTACGGTTTTTCTTTGTGCCGAAGTTTGCCACGTGTTTTTTTGTCGGGTTGTCAACCAAGTACAGGGTCAATGAGATTGCTTTCGCACACCTTTTGCAGGGTGAGGTCCTAGAATGAACTGCGGGCATTGTGCTGTGAACTTCCAAGATTGGATGGCCCTGAAGCCACCTGTGATTAGCTCAAGCTTTGCTTTTCCACGTTCCTTGTTTTGTCACTACGGAGTAATCCGCAAGCGGAGCAAGTCGCATGATCCGGATGATGTGAGTAATGCGCATTGATACGCATGTTTGGATAGGGACGGGCTCAATGTCTGATAGGGCCAGGAAAGGTGGATAGGTCCACACATTTGACCTGCGTGAAGCATGGCTGATGCCTGGAGATATCGAGAAGACTCCGAGCCGAGCTGCCCAGCTGAGGAAACCGCCCAGGCCGAGTCTGGTGATGGCCATCTGAAGTGACAACAAGGAGCGCTATTAGGGGCGCTCCTGGCCTTACTACTAGGAGCAAGAGGGCGCTACTAGGAGCAAAGGGCATCGCATCTCATGCATGGCGGCTTTGGCTCACAAGGTTTGAACAAGTCAAATGATGGCAGTGCTGAACCATTCTTCCCAGGACCTAGCTTTGGCGTGAAGCATGAATCTCTTGCAGACAGAAGGAATTTGCAAAAAAGCCACCTGGGCTATCCATAGACACATTTGTATCCTGCTTGTCGCCCGCACGGTTCTTTTCTCTGAGAAGTTTCATGGCAAGACTCACGATCCGGAGGACTTACATAACGAGACAAGTTCCATGAGATCAGCCAATGGATGTTTTCAAAAGCCTTTCTTTGGAGGCCATCGCTAGTAGGTTGGAGGCCATTGCCATATATTGCTATTGCTTGGTCCAAAGATGTTTTTGTTGAAACGAACCACCAAAGACCAGTCGGCCTTTCGAGGGACGGTCAAGCGCGGAAGTGGGACACCGACAACATCGCATTCGGTTAATGGACACAGAGTATTCCGGTATTTAACAGATTTTAACAGTAATTCTACTTGGTTTGGTGTCCTAACTTACTAAGTGTAGGGTTTCGTCTAAACAGTTTTGTAACATCAATATCAGTTTTGATGACATTGACGTATTTGGAGCTTTGCTAACGGCTTACTTCAATTGACAATGCTTCATCATCACCTTGTCGTTGGGCGCGGGCCTGCCAGCGGAATCCAGAGTTGCGCCGCCCAAGCGCACGCCTCGGCAGCCAAGGTCCATCACTGGCCGCCATTCAAGAAACAGAACATACCCACTTCACAGACTATAGATCTGTAAAATTATCTCGAAAGTCTATCAAACGGGACGAGCGAAAGGACACTAGACGTTGGACTACGAAAGACCTGCAAAGCTCCAATTGTAGTGCCAAATGTCAAATTATAACTATATCCTCCGACCAACCACGGCTGGTGGCTGGTTTAGCAACTACTTGGAAGCCGTCCATTCCGATGAAAGAGCTTCGCAGACAAAACGAGTGATGAGCGTGGTGGACCATGTGCTGGTCAATGTCTTCACATAGGTTGCGCAGGTTGCCTGGGCAACTGCTGGACTAACGTGGGGCCCTGGGGCCCAAAGTCACCGGTACCAAGTTGTTTTCACCAAGCGATGGCCTCCAACCTACTAGCTATGGCCTCCAACCTAGAAGCGATGGCCTCCAACCAAATTAGCCATTTCTATCTATTTTACTCTGTGCCTGAGAAGGCGTCTTCTGACCTGGTGTCAATCATGCACCAAAGCAACCATGCTCAGTTCGTGTCACGCACTGCGTCGCACTCTCACTTTCCCCACCCATCCAGCGGTTTCCTGTTGCGCTTCGCCTATGATGGCAGCTTCGCCACAGCAGACCAAAGAATGAACGAGATCAAGCAATCTTGGGTGTGATGAAAGGAGCAAATTAGTTGGTCATGTAAAGTGCGAAAGGACTCGGTGACCCGAAGGTGTTGTTTTCTTTTTATGCCTTTTCCCGTGCTTTCAGTTGTTTCCCATGCTCTGTTTGACCACCAGAGATCCTTGTTTTGTAGGTCTGGTGAGGATAAAGAACAGTGTTAGACATGCTGGCGTATTCTCATTGTTAAACGAGACCGTGTTTCCTATATTCTGGCGTATTACTCGGGTAGTAACAAGGACGCTACTAGTAACAAGTGCATCGCTTCTAGTAACAAGTGCCTTACTAGTAGTAACAAGAAGCTATTAGAAACAAGAAGCTACTAGTAGCTAGAATTCATGGTCTCTTGTTCGTTGAGGTCCATCAGGTCGAAAGTGTGGTCGAAAGACGGTCTCACCGGCCTGGGGTCAGATTGGAGGATCACCACGGTTGCGAACTTATTCAGACTCACAATGCTTCAACAGCTGTAGCCAAACTGCCGCTCCATCTGCAAAATGGCTCGCATCCAAATGGAGCTTGGCCATTTTTACCTTGAATCCAGGGCCAACGTGCCTGGCATGCGGCGATGGTGTACTTAAGCACGGGGATGTTGAGAACCAATGGCCTCCAACCTAATACTTCTAACCACTAGTAGCTTCTTGTTTCGAGTAGCTACTAGTAAGGCACTTGTTACTAGAAGCGATGCACTTGTTCCTAATAGCTTCTAGCTACTAGTAGCTTGTTGTTTCTATTAGCGTCCTTGTTACTACTAGTAAGGCACTTGTTACTAGAAGCGATGCACTTGTTCCTAATAGCTTCTAGCTACTAGTAGCTTCTTGTTCCTAGTAGTAGGGCCAGGAGCTCCTAGTATCTTCTTGTTACTAGTAACGATGGCCTCCAACCTAACCGCAAGGTTACTTGAATGTATACTTTGTGACTTTGCTGTTTTTGGATCCATCGCTTCCCACCGTTGATCGGTGCGACCTTTGTCGTCACGCCTCTAGGGCCGCTAGGTGCGGGCCAAGCTCGCCGTCGTAGAGACTCCTTCGGTGAAACATGCCGAGCGGAAGCTCCTAGTAGCGATGCCAGGAGCTACTGGTAGCTTCTTGTTACTACTAGTAAGGCACTTGTTACTAGAAGCGATGCACTTGTTCCTAGTAGCGTTCTTGTTACCAGTAGCGATGCCAGGAGCCCCTAGTAGCTTCTTGCTCCTAGTAGCGATGCCCTTTGCTCCTAGTAGCGTTCTTGCTCAAAGGATCGGTCTTTTCTTGTTGAATGTTTGGGTATAGCCTCAGCTGATCAGTTGACGGAGGTTGTGCAGGTATAGCCGATGTTCCGGTTAGATGATGTTAGATGTAATTAATCTTCATTTCAGGCAGGGGGGTCCATGCACTCACTCAGCACTCTTGGTCGCGACCTGAGGTCCTTCGGCAGTATCACCACAAGGCCCCGAGCACTTTGTAGGTTTTTCTGATTGCTGTTTTCCAGTTTAGGCCTCCAATCTAATTGCAATGGTCCAACCTAATAGCCAATAGCGATGGCCTCCACCATGGGTCTGTTGTTTGAGCAAGTTTGGATGGCTGTGGTCTCCGACTTCACTGCTGCTTTGGTGCTGGGTGGCAAGCACGCCTCGCACGCCTCCGTTACGATGATAAGGGTATGTTGATTTCCGCCACGTCTCAATGTGAATGTGCTCATAAAGTCGCAATCTGAAACGAAAGGAGATGTTGTCATTGCTCCCCTGGCAGAGCGCCTAAGTCCAGTTTCGTCAGACCTTTGTTGGAAAGACTCAGCTCTCACAAAGCCAGCTAGCCTTTCGATCATCCTGCTGCACTAGTGGCCAGTACAGCCATCAGAAAAGCCCCTTCGATGCAGTCGGGGTTTGGAACCATTGCCTCGAAGTGTACTATATATGCCGCTAGATTAGACCCTTCTCAAAATCGTATAAGACCCTGCTGAAAAGGAGTTGAACAACGATTGAAACTCAATGATTGACTTTCTTAGCTACTGTAGATAGCGCACAACATCTTCAGTTCCAAATATATAAGACTTCTTGACAAACACCTCCCGAAGGGACTCGGCTCTCCTGGCTCGCCTCCGGGAATGAGCTTGGCCTGGTTGGTAATTTTCTTTTGTCTTTCCGTTTCTTGCTTGTTCTTGTCTTACTTGTTATTTTTTTAGAGATCTTAATCTAGACCCGCTTCCTTCCTTTCTGCGTTTCTTGCAACCCCTCAACCAGTAGACACCATGAAGCTTTCTACAGCCCACTTCAGCTGCCGTTGTTTGAACAGGCACACCAAGAGGCACTCCACGACGGCCCAGCGCATCACCAGGTCAGCTCCTTTGGGATCCAGCATCGCTGTGTTTCATGGGTTAGTTGGTACAGGGTTATGATAAAGGTTTGTGATGGTACATTCTTGGAACTGGAGGAGAGAGGAGATCATGAACCATAAGTGATTGGTTGGTGTTGGTGTTGGTGTTGGTGTTGGTGTTGGTGTTGGTGTTGGTGTTGGTGTTGGTGTTGGTGTTGGTGTTGGTGTTGTGGTTGGTTGGTTGGTTGGTTGGTTGGTTGGTTGGTTGGTTGGTTGG